TGAGACTCCCACGTGTACTACCTTGGTTTCTCATTCAAATTTTCCTTTGCAGTAACTATATGTTCATAATAAATCAATTTCAGTCTCTATCTATATCTTCATTCTTTCTCATTCTGATTGTATCTAAATGAGAGATTCACACATACAAAAAAGTTTGCATCAGTCAGTCTCAAGCTTGATATGTATTTATTAACTGAACTTTGAATAGAATTACTCACTGTATTACGTTCAATCTTTGTGATTAATATGAACAATTAGATTAAATGTATTAACAAGGAAAAACCTTATATTAGAAATACTTACTGTATAAAATATCTTTTCATCATTAGGTTAGGGACTTATTTATTTACCAACATTATATATATATATATATATATATATATATATATATATATATATATACACGTTTCATTAAATAATATAGACAAAAATGTTGTCTATTTATTTTTAAAAAAATTTTTCGTATCTTCTGATAAGTTTGGTAACATTATCATTATCAGAAGATATAAAAAATTTTACATAAAATAAATAGACAACACTTGTCTATATTATTTAATGAAACGTGTATAAATGAAAATATGCTGCCTAAATACACACAATATATATATATATATATATATATATATATACACACACACACACACATTATATATAAGACATTTGACTGTTTGGCATGCTGGCCTTTCCCAAATGCTCAAGGGCTATTGTATCTATGGACAAATATTTGGTTCAATCCAATCATTGCTAACAAATTGTATAATAAAGATTGTGTTAAATGGTGATGTTTTTAGATGATTCAATATAGCAATTCCCCAGAGCTCTATCTTTTGACCAATACTGTTTCTGATCTTAATCAATGACATTCATCAGTCCCCAACTAGATATTTATGCAGATGACATAACTATTTACTCCTGTTTTTAGTAGCAAATCCGACAGATCTGAAAGTAAATCTGGCAACTGTTCTTGAAAAGGACCTCCAATCAGTGGTTAACTGGGGCAAGGAATGGCTTGTAAATTTTAATGCCTTCAAAACAAAACTGCTTTCATTTAATCATCAGTTAAAAATAAAAATCATCCTTGATAATGGCTAAAAGAATAGCTGAAAGCACTCAGATATGCAGAACATTTGGGAAGTTTTTACACACTTTATGTCCAGGAAAAAAAACATGAATACGAATACAAGAAAAATTAAATAAAAAGATTAATCACAGTACCTTGTCAGTCATCTTTAATGAAACATGTACAAAAGAGCGATTGCTGCCCAAATACACAATATATATATATATATATATATATATATATACACACACATAAACACACATGAATGTTTTTCATAGAGTATATTCTGGAAAAGTATTGTCAATAATTCATCTTCAATTTTTTTTTTTTTATAGGTTTGTTGAAAGCTAAAAAAACAGAACAGATCAAGAGAAAAGCATCTTGAGAATTTTTCCTTTTTATGAAAACTCGTTTCTTTTTGTGTCATATTTTGCATCCAAAGAACAATTTCTATTTCACTCTCTCATCCTCTCAAGTCTTTTGTTTCAATCCATCTTTGGAAATTAGGATTTCCTTTGTTTCTTTTTTTTTTAATCTCCCCCCTCCCCACACCCGCATCTCTCACTTCCTCTCTTTCTCCACTCACTCTCTGTTAAGACACTAACCAAGGATTGGCAATAACCTGAGTAATATCAATATTTTTTTTTTTGGTTTTTATTGCAACATGGTTCCAATAAAGTGTAGTATGATAAAGCAGTTGTCATAGACACTAGAGGATTTTGTTGAACTTAGAAAAATAATGAAAACTGTTTTGTGCAAATCAATCAAGGCAAAATAATTATATTGAAGCATACAGAAATGTCCTTTACAAGATTGACTTTCCAATTTTTTTCTTGAAGCCATTGGGTTGTTGGTTGCCTGTTTAATGTCTTCTACACAATATTTTTAGACAGACATGAAAACAATAATTCAAAGAGTTTTTGTATTCTGATAATGAAATTTAAAACAAAATGTATAGTGATTAAAAAAAAAACTATTATTATTATTATATTAGTGTTACACATTGACATAGTCACTAGAAATTCTGTTCTTGAGGCATGATGCCAAAAAGTTCTCATAGTCCAAGAACCTCTTAAAGAATCTTTACATAATAAAGTATAGAAGTTTTCTGGAGGTCTTCAATCATGATTCTACTTTTCTCAAAGTAAATACAATTTTCTAGGTGATGTTCCAATTTAGAACAGAAATTGCCTCGACAGTGATATTCAATAACTTCTTCAACTCCTTCGTCAGAACACACCTGAAACTGACTCTTTCACATTATTAATACGATTATCAATACTCTCCATTTATAACATCTGAAACAAATCTTATAATGGCAGATACAAGTCTTAAAATTCTGTAAAATTTTGTGATAGTGTTTTAAATTGGGCCTCAAAGCTACTGAAGCTGCTTTCAGAATTTGTCAGTTAAAGGCATTAAAAAAAAAAAGGAAAGAAAAGGGGAGATACAATGGACATTGGACATATTGAAGATCAAGGTAAATGATAAATAATAACAACTTGTGTAAATGGATAACAGAACAGGGACTGGGAAAGATAATAAAATGACTATGCTAAAAGTATAGGAAGTTGTGGAGAACCATGATCGTCCATCTCCTGAAGGGACAAGGCATATAAAAGAAGTTTGCATTGTTATTTGAAATTTCTCTTCTATGAATAGAAAAAAATCTTTTACAAAAGGTTATTGTAAAAATTAACAATTTTATAGGAAGAAAATCAAAATACAGAACATGCCTGTGGGCTGAGATAGTTGCATATTTGGTATAGGATATGAGTTTTAAGCTTTAATCCTAAATCCTTTGTTTTGCCATGAAGAAAAGGACAAAAAAATGGAAAATAAGCTACTTGGTAAAAAATGTGTAATCAAAATGTTTCTTCTCAGAATCTCATTGCAATCATGGCTCTCCACAATTTCCTGTCCTTTGTAGCTCTTAAATTTTGTCATCTCTCTTAAAGCTTGTTCCACCATCTATTTACTCAAGCTTGTTATGTAGATTATGCATTGTTTTCCTCTGTCCCTCTTGCCTTCAGTCTGTCCTGTGAGTATCAAATTTTCCAAGCCCTCTTTCCTCATTATGCACCCTAGAAATTTCAACTTCTCTTTCTGATTCTAAGTATAAGCGTCCTTTTCATTTCCATTTTCTCTAAAACTTTGTTGTCCTTCACATGTTTGGTCCATGGTATTCTCAGCATCCTTCTGTAGAACCACATTTCTGTTGCTTCAAGTCTCTTCTTTATCTGCTTGGAGATTGTCAAGAATTCACTGCCATATAGAAGGGCTGATACTCTTTTCTTTTTCTTTCAGTACTCTTTTTTTTTTTTTTTTTAATGAGCTTCTGCTACTTTTTCAAAAGTTATACTCCTTTGTTTGTGTTGAGTACAGCTGTTTTGAACACTATCTACAGTCTCTTTGCCAATATCTCATAACAAAAACCTATCCAATTAATCTTTTATTTAGACTATTTGTCAAGTTAACTCATTTGTCTTTAAAATTTTCAAGAAAGTCAGAAAGTTTTTATCATTTTCTCTTCTTTGTCTGCACCAGTAAGCTTCTTTTTTTCAGTTTTCTTTAAATTCCTTTGGGAAGAGATTTCATCACTTTCACTCCAATATGTCTTCAGCTTGTCTTATTTTTAACTATCCTCCATTTTGCCCTCTCCATAACCTTTTAACCCTGTCAGCACCAAAGTAACCTTTCTTTTGGTTTGATGGTCACTCAAACTAATACTAACCAGACATCTATGCCCTCTTTTGAAAACAGGCTTCACCAAATTACTGTCTCCCTTTTCTCTTTTTTTTAAATTAACAAATTATGTCAGTACTTCTTTAATATGAATTGTAGAAATATATTAAGAAAATCTTTGAATCTGAAGCAACACTTGAAATAATTTTCATGTTTTAAGGAACCTCCAATTATCTATAAGTCTATATTATTTTTTATAATTGTCATTCTTAATGACATTTGATAAAATTCTAAGAAACTCCAGGTTTAAAAAGCTCCCTCTAAACTCTTTGAAATTTTCATTATTCTGATATATATATGTATTCTTTTTTCTTTTAGTCACTTTTTTGTTCAGAACTTTTGGCAAATATGTCTTAAAGCATACATTGTGAAAATTTGGAATTTAATCTGAAGTTTGAAGAATAGATCAGCTGAAAATAAGGATAAGTGGAAAATCATTTTGCAAACAAAATCTGTGCACTCACAAGATCTTTTTAGATGTTTAATGAGGAAAATATATGGAAAAGTGGAAAAAGTTATTTTGTTATACGTTTCATTCTTTAGGACTTCATTGGATTAAATTTGTTATGTTGGTGTGACTACACATGTACATGAACAATGGATGCTGAGAATTTTAAATTTTTATTTTATAAAAGTTCAGCCAGGAATGGTGAAATTTTGTCAGAGTCAGGGCACAAATTTACTATAGATGGTCTTGCGATCAAGGCACTCTCTAGATATTTTTTGTCATTGTGAATTGTTGCCTCCTTTGATCAGAGTAGAATTTTTTATGTCAAAATTGTGGTCAGTCTCATTATGGTGGTCAATCAATACATTTAATGTATTGTTTTGTAAAATGTCCCTTTTGTGTTTATAAAATCTTTTATATAGATTCCTTGATATTTCTCCTATTCCTGGCAGAACTTACAGTGTGGGATATTTAATAACAAAAGTGATGGTAAGAAAAAGAATCTAAATGGAATCAATTAGATTAAAAAAAAAAATGTTTTTAAATTTAAAATTCCCAGTATCTCTCATTTGTGCATATATGTAGTTCTATGAAACACATCACAAGAAAACTTTTTCCACTTTGTCTTACATTTTTCCCAATATTGTTTTTGATATATAAAAATGTATATCATTATTTCATAGATGTTTAGTGACACTGTTGCAGGATGTTTATAAGAAAGGAATATGAGAAGGATTAGGGACTTACCTGCCAATTTCAAAGTAGCATTCCTGCTAATTGCACTCCCATAAATATTAGTTGCATTACAATAGTAGACACCAACATCCGGTTTGTTGTTCTTATTATGGATGATTTGTAGGAAAAATAAAGCTCCTCCGTCTACTAACATTTTATTTGATTCAGGGTCCTTATCAGTTGTAACCACTTTTACACCATCACGATACCATGTGATCACTGGTTTGGGGTCACCCTCTGCCCGACAGTTCAGCTTGGCTGGTGTCATTTTGGCAACATAACTGTCCTGAGGATGTTCAACAATGCGGGGATTTGGTAGTTTACCTGAAGTAGAAACAGAAAAAGAAAAAAAAAAATAATTACTTATAAAAAAAATAAATGGATTATTTTTTTTTAAAGAGCCATCAATAGCAAATATGAAAAAATAAATGGATTATTTTTTTTTAAAGAGCCATCAATAGCAAATATGAAAAAATAAATGGATTATTTTTTTTTAAAGAGCCATCAATAGCAAATATGAAAAAATAAATGGATTATTTTTTTTTAAAGAGCCATCAATAGCAAATATGAAAAAATAAATGGATTATTTTTTTTTAAAGAGCCATCAATAGCAAATATGAAAAAATAAATGGATTATTTTTTTTTAAAGAGCCATCAATAGCAAATATGAAAAAATAAATGGATTATTTTTTTTTTTAAAGAGCCATCAATAGCAAATATGAAAAAAATAAATGGATTATTTTTTTTAAAGAGCCATCAATAGCAAATATGAAAAAATAAATGGATTATTTTTTTTTAAAGAGCCATCAATAGCAAATATGAAAAAATAAATGGATTATTTTTTTTTAAAGAGCCATCAATAGCAAATATGAAAAAAAAAATGGTTTCTGAAAAGAATTCATATGTATAACTGTAAATGTATACTTTATATATTTCTGTAAAGAGGGATATTTTCGCATGATGTATTAGATCCTACGGGTGCTATCTTAAGTAATTCCTTTTTAGGGCTTCTGTTGAAGCAATTAGGTTGACGTGACAGCATTCATATTCTGTTGAACCGATGTGTCAGATAGCATTGTGTTACCTGATACCAGCAACAAGGAATAACTAGACTTAAACTATTATTGAATGCTTAAGATGGATAGCCTTACAAGGCTAAAAACTCCAAGTGAAGGGAGAAGTGGATTCATGCTTTTCACAAGGACATTAGTGTGAAGTGAATTTAAATTGTCACAGATACAATTTAAATTTTGATTCACTGATTCCAATCTCCATATTTTTAATTGATAGGTCACCGACACTCCCAGGGAAACTTATTAGGCTATCCATACCTACAGAGAAAATAAGAAGGTTATAATATTTCTAGCTTACAAAAACTTCTAATATTCATTTCTGAAATTCTTATAAAGCCAAAATAATACATTTTAGCTTGTCTTTTCTGTAAGTGGTTATGTTAAAAGTAATCTATTCTATTTGTATGATGGCTAACTTGGTGAGTGAGAGTGTTAGACATTTCCCACAAGAAATACATGCAATAATTACTGTTTATTTAATCTGCAATATCATAACGAGGATTTATTAAACAAATATGAAACATTTTGATTCAGATTGATAAGTACTTTTTTGATTATCTGGACATGAAATGAAGAGAAAAATTGAAATCCTGTGAACATTTTTCAATTATCTGAACATTCTAATATTTCATTTTAGACAAGCATTTTGAGAATTTAGAAAACGATATTCAATGTTTGATAAAAATGCTGATAAAATCCGTTCAATTAATTCTTGTTTCAGTTGGCTGCACTTTCAACCAGAAGCAACAAATATATCTCTTTTAATCTAGTTTCAAGAGCTTGCAGCAGAAAAATATGAGATCAGCTGGGAACAGATAAAAATTGGTACATTTTTACCTAAAAAGTAAACTGGACAAAAACTTCAACAAAATATTTGAAACTGTAAATCTTTTTTCAGAAAATAACTTTTTTTTTCTTCATTCTCTTCTGATAATTTAGGAACTCAATTACCTGAACAAAATTTTTCCACCCCTGTCACAAGGTGTCCATATAATCAAGGAAGTACTGTGTGTGTATATGTATATTACATCATGAAATTTAAATTGTACCATACATAACATTAGTGCTTTTCACTTCACAGTTAAAACAATTTAACTTTCAGATGAACACAATAATTTTTATCTTAGAAAAAACAACAACCTGATGATGATATTGATCTAATATCAAAAGTACTCAAAACATGGTCATTTTCTCTCTTCCTCTAATAATGATACTAAGAAACTTGTCTCTGAATATGAGAGGATCCTTTTGAAAATAAGTAGACAAAACCTGTCTAAATTATTCAATATATATATATATATATATATATGACATTTTTTACTTAGTTTCACATTTATAACCTGATTTGTGCCCAGCAATTTTTTAAAATTTTTTGGTTTATTTTGGATAATTCCAAGATCTATATATTGACACAGCAAATTATATCAATAGGGAAAAATAGAACAATAATTACGAATGTAATTTAGACAAGGTTTTGACTTTTCTTATTGATAAACCCACTGATTTTACCAATATTCCACCACTTAACTCAAATCATTTTCTGCTCAAAGAAAATAAACATTTCCAGTAGTAAGCGGAATATTTTATAATTAATCACCTAATTATGTCAGGCATTACTTAAAATTTGTTTCAGCAAATCTCAGAACTCAATATAGATGTTGATCAGTGAACATCAAGAATAAATACATTTGTCTGTGGTTAGGAATTAATACAAGCATTAGTAAAGAAAAACATAACCAACAATGTTTTATATTGATCTACATTATACCATAAATTATATAATATACATGACCTATAATAGAATATTATATATATATATATATATATATTTGTGTATTTAGGCAGCAAATTCTCTTTTGCACCCCTGCTGATGATCTCAAAAAAAGATGGAAAGTACTAGGGAAATAAATGTAATTCTCACTGTTACAGTGCATTTCTTGTCTTATTCAATTGTAATACATGGAAAAATATTTGTGATTATGAAAGGATTATAATAAAAATAAGAAGACATAATGTTTATAATTTATTTAATCAGACACGCTTAAAAGATATATAATTGTATAGATATAACAATGTATAATAATGTTATTCACGAGAATAGCAAGCCAATAATGACAAAATGAAATGAATAACGACCAGGAACACAGAATGCATAACGGAAAGAATTGGGGAGGAAGAAGAGCATACAGAGATACATAATATATCTTCTGACAATAGACAACCAAATGAACAAACAACAGATTTTGCCGAAAAGTGGGAAGCTGAGAATTGGAAGGAAGGAAGCATCAGTATTGAGCAAAGATATCAAGCCTGACAGAGAACTTTCATCACAGAAGATTCTTGCAGAATCAATAACAATGAACTAACAACAGCAGGATTCTTTTTATCTTCAGGAAAGCAGAACATAATTCCCTCACCAAAAATATAAATAAATGAAAGAAAAAGGGGGAAAAAAAAACATGACGTCTCCTTAAGGGAAACAATATTGGGTTATCCTACCATCAAAAATTATTTTATGAGTGTAAGCATTTGGATAGAAAAATACACAAAAGAAAGGGGAAAAAGTTAAAAGAAAATAGAAAGAACCTTAAAGAAAATGTCAGTAAATAAAATTATATGCAGATATAGATATTAGGGTATATAATGATGATAATAATTCCATTTATAGAAGAGAGCAAATCACATTGTGTACAAATTTTGTTTTTCAAATGATAAGTACTGTAGTGAGGAAATACTGTGTATGGTGAGTGTAATCTACTGGGATAGTCTAAAAAGAAAAGCAAATATAACTAATGACTGCTTAAGGGAATAAATCTATCAGAAAATATAGAGTGAGAGAACAACTTAGAATCTAATGACAATGAGCTACTGATTTTGTGTCAGCCATTTTCTTCCCTTCATTGTGAAGAGTTACAACTCTCTAGAAGTGTAAATATTGTCTTGTCATTATTCTGTAGATAATTCAGTCTACTATCTTCATGTTATTTTTTTATTCAGAAACCACTATTTGAGGTGGCCCCTTCTCCAACCTTCCACATGTGTATATGGTACCTGGGGTATAGACTTAAATGTTGTCTAAAGTTCTGAGATGAAGCATCTATACTATTATTAGAGGAGGAAAAAGAGGGTGTGGAGGAGGAAAGGTAGTGGGGTGAGAAAGCAGAAAGAAGAGGAAGGTTGAAAAAGAGTGTAGGTGGGAGCAAGAAAGCTAAATAAATATGAAGTATAAGTATTCTTTTAAACTCTTTATAAGCATTTTTCCATTTTTTTTTTTATAAATCACTGAACAGAGAAATTCTCTTCAGCATTAAGCTTACATGAAGATCCAAATCATCATCCTAGAGTTATTTGTACAATGTAATCCAATCAAAAGTTTGCAATCAAATGCGAACAGGTTTAACGAAAGACATGCCAAAATTCTATCCGTTTGTATGGCAATTAATTAGACACTGATATAAATGATGCAAAATACAATTTTCAGTGAGAACAGCTGAGGCCTAAATGATTTCCTGATGTTGATCAAATATAATTATGGTCTGCTTACCACAAAATTTCTTCTTTTTCTTCTTCTTCAAATTTCATTCGTGGGTCAATATCAAATACTCTGACTGCCATGATATATTTTTAGATGGAGATAAGTTTCAACTAATTTTGCTGGCAGATCTTGACTGCTCTCCATACTTCTGGCCTAAATGAACATTTAAAACCTGAACATCTGCCAAATCTTTTGTGTAACTTAAGTGTTTCTTTAAGACAAAATATTTTACATTTAGAATTTTGGGGATAGAACAAGAGTTCTTACACACTCAATGTGCCAAAAAGAAATCACTTTTATGAATGCTAGAAAAATATAATAAAAAGTCTAATCGCAGTGCCTTGTCAGTCATCTGTAATGAAGCCTGCATAAAAGAGGGTTTGCTGCCCAAAGACACACACACACACACACACACACACACACACACACATATATATATATATATAATAATAAAATATAGTTTTAAGGTATGCTATATTTATGAGTTAAAGTGCTCAATATCATGGATAGAGTGTATGTAAATATAAAAGTGGACATTGAAGTCAATACCAAGTGGTGACAGTTTGTTTTATGCTTATAAGCAATCATCAGGTCATATGTGTTATATTTTTCTCAACTATTTATATATATTTTATATATATATATATATATATATATATATATAATTATTTAAATTAAATTGAGTTAAAATAAGCTCTGTTCCATCTTCAAGCAAAATTTTTTTTGGAACAGAGCTTATTTTAACTCAATTAATTTAAATAATTATATTGAAGTTTTGGCTCTTGTTTTGAAACATGAGACTTCTTATGTAGCGTTTTGGAATCATATTTTTAAATAAACAATTATATTTATGCTCTACTTTTGTATCGAGCACTATTTTTAAAAAATAATAACTAAAATACTAAGGGACTTTGGATTATTTACCTAACCAGTTCCTTCCTATTTTCTATATATTTTCACATATTATATAAATATATATATATATATATAGGTCAATGATGCATTGTGGGTTGTCTATTGCATTGTTCTAATGGTTATTTTGGTGGGTGGTAACAATTATTCTGCAGGATTCTATTTTTACTCAGTTTCAAAGGGTTAAGGTATGTTATATTTATGGGTCAAAGTGCTCAATATCATGGATAGAGCATATGTAAATATAAAAGTGGACATTGAAGTCAACACCCAAAAGCAACAGTCTATTTAATGCTAAATGTAATATTAATATATATGCAGTCAACATCAACTGGTGACACTCTGTTTCATGATTGGACATAATCTTCTGGCTATCTTAACCAGTCTCTGGCCTGAAAACTGCATTCAGACAAAAAAGAAACAAAACAAAAAACAAACTGTCACTACTCAATGTTGACCTCACTGTCCATTTTTATATTTTATATTTGCACATTTTCTATCCCTGATATTGAGAATTTAACCCATGAATATACCATTCCTTAAAACTAATATATATATTTTGAACAATAAAAAAAATATTAAAAAATTAAAATCTTCTGACACACTGGGTTGTAGATTAATATTCTTTCGTTTTTTTTTTATTATTATTTCATTTAGATTCCTCGACTAGTTTTGGTCAAAATGGCCATCATCGGGTGAAGAAATATTTCTGCTTGCTGGTAGCAGTAAACTATATATATATATATATATATATATATATATATATATGGAGAGAGAGAGAGAGAGAGAGAGACATGTTTTGTTGAATAATTTAGACATGTTCTATCTACTTATTTTCAATTGAATCCTTTCATATTCACAGATAAGCTTTTTGGAGTCAACACATGTCTAAATTATTTAATGAAACATATCTCAATGAAAACATGCTGCCAAAATATATGCACACACACACACACACACACACACATATATATATGTGCATATATATATATATATATATATATATGTATGTGTGTGTGTGTGTGTGTGTGTATTTAAGAAGGTTCAGTTAAAAAGTAGTGCCTGCTCTTCTTTAATTATGACTGCAGAGGCACAGAAAGCATATCACAAGGGACAAAAATATCTGAGGATTGCAATTTTGAATGCTCAACATTATCTCCATCCTTCTCAATCATAATATTCCATTTTGTAAATGAGGACATATATTGAAGTGAATCAAGTTCATTCACAAAGGAAGATACTATATTAAAAAGATAAATATATGATATAAAAAGTAATTTTTTTGCATCATTTGTATTATTTTTTTAAAAATTGTAACACTTGCTCAATAATTGCTTCAAGCAGTTTTTGGTCTTCAGGTTTAAGTTTTGCTCGGAGGGTTTAGATAAAAAGCAACAATAACAAGATGAAGTCAAACTAGCAATAAAGATATTCTAATCATTATAAAATGATTTATGTATTGAAGATTTATCATATTGGAGACAGGTGGAAAAGCCTTCAGGTATGTGCTAGAAAGGATTTTAAAGTGGAGAAAAGTAGTAATAATAATAATAATCAAGAACACACTGACCAAATGTGTTTGAATAAAAAGCAACAATAATAAGATGAAGTCAAACTAATAATAAAATAATAGTTGTTACTTAATAAAGAAAATCTTTCTGATATTTAGTTGAGTATACAAACCTAAAGGAATTGTTTCTTTTAAAATAAACTCTTCGGTGTCTGGTTACCTTTAGATACTTTTCAAATTCAAAAATGGCTATTTCTTTAATGTGATAACAAAATTGTTAAGAGTGTCTCATTTTTATCAGTAAAGAAAAAAAAAGTCATTGGTAGCTGACATTATTTATAAGTAAAAAGTCAAAATGGTTGATGATTAAAGACCAAAAAAACAAAAAACAGAACTAGTCAATGATTAGTGATTAGTTAGAAATAACTGAACTGAAAGAAAGAACATCTGGGTTTGATTTTCATATTGAAAATCTATTAATTGTGTTTCTGATTTTGATTGTGGTGATTTTATTTCCATAGAGAGACTCCATCTGCCACCATCATCAACACCACCACAACTATCATGAACATCACCTCTTTACAACAACCAAGTTCATTTCAATCTCAAAGTTCTATTTAATTTAGTGAAGAACAACTTTCAACCTTGATTCAAGACTATTTTACCATCATTAATCATATCACTAATGACCTTTTTTATCATTATGCATACCATTCAAAACAACATATTATTATTATTATTATTATTATTATTATTATGTCAGAGTTAGCTCCTCCTCTGTTCCTTAATCCTTCAACAGGGGTCTCTCTTGCCCCTGGCTATAAATACTGTCTGACCCTTCGCCTCGATCTCTTTTTTCCCCTCAGGCCTTGGGCCGTTACCTTGCTTGGAGGTGAGGTAGTAATTCTTCTCTCTTTTCAGCTAACACCATTATGTCAGCTCTTACAGATACAGCATTTCCCAAATTCTGGGAGCACGCTAAGAACAATACATGTACATATGAACACTCACCACAACACCACACAAACTCTATGTAACTGTCAATTTGTTTTGTAACTTGTTATTAATACATATATTTGTTTACATATATTTATCGGTCTTGTTTGTTTTCTTTGGACTTAATTAAAGTCCAACATTCTCATGTAGCTGGACCGGCTAGCAGGAAATTTTAACTCACGTGTGTTCTTTACATACTCATCAACCAACGGTCCACTACAATTACAATTTTCAGTACTGTTACTTTTTACTTAGTGTTGCTCAATTTGGTACAAAGCCAAAAGCCACATGTATGGTGCAACTAGTGAGGGTTGAACTGACTTCTCACAATCTACAAGTTCATCTTGTTAACCATTACATTACAATAAGACACACATATCTGTACTGTTACTGACATTATTGTTGCAACTACCACCATCTTTAATACTAATACTACTACTAGTACTGCTGCTTCCACCACTGCACTAAAACTTTTATTTCAAAAAAGTCAAAAAGCACATTATTGTTCTATCTATTACACATGGACCAGGGTTTTTTAAGATCATGCCTCCCTCTCCAATGGTTACTTCTTAGCAATTCAGATATCTATTAAAACTATTATGAGAAGAGGTTAGAAATTTACAGTGCATTCAATTGAATGCAAAGAGGTTTGTTTCCATCTCTGTGACCATGGGGGTTCATTATTGAGAACACAAAATGAAAATAAAATTTTATTGAAATTATTAATGACAAAACTTCTACTAATGAACGTTTAATTTTAATAACTCTGAATTTTGAAATTTTAACCTGAATGATGATTTTCTGTTCTCAAATGAAACTTTCAAGTTGTATGTATTTTTCCAGTTATTATATGAGGTGCATACTGAAAGTTCTTAGCTTGGCTTATATCCCAAAATCTGACCAAAACATTGGATTTTTGGTGGGGAAGGACTTCTTGGTTGGGGTGAAAACTTCTCAGCATTCTATTGTGTAAACATCATACTTCCTATCAAGAGACGTTACTTATTCCCTAAAATAAACCTCGAAACTTTAACTTGCATCTTGAAAGCTAAATATTACATTCTTTGCAGGACTACATCTAATTACAGAGAAAAAAGCTTTTGTATTTTGTTGTATAATTTAGTGGGAGAAATTCAGAATGTCTTTTTAACACTGAGAGAGTGAGAAAATCGGTTTCCTTTTCTGAGAGAATTGTTATTCCAGAAGTGGTTCATTAACCTCCAAGATTCCTTTTCATGAGAAGAGAAAGAAAAGA